ATCCACAATTGTGTGTGCCCATAAGATTGCGATGTAATCATGAGATTACATGTACACATTACATAGAAACACACGGTAAATGGGGAGAATCATAGCTGTTATTGCATAAGAAGTTTACAACAAGAGATAGCCAATTCATTCAAAAGGCAGTAATTCCATAATGCCTTGTGTGATGGTTTCCTCCAACAGAACCCTTGGTTCTGATAGGTTGACCTTCTGAATACTAGTTGTCACCTGCTGTATACTCCCATGGCCTTTTGCCACCAGCAGCTCTCAATATGGATGCACAAGGTGATCAGCTTATAGAGTAAGGTTTACTGGCTCACCATATTAGAGGTTTAGCCTATAACCAGCTGGCCCTATTGCCTTGCCATGTCCCTCTGTCTCTACTGCTTTATAGAGCGAGTGCGTGGCTGAGGAACTGAACTGTTCATCTCAGTGGACTAGAAAGACCAGCCTCTCACACACAGTTCCCTTCAAGGACACCTCACAATGACATAAAACCTTCCACTCTTAAAGATTCCACTCACTTCTAGTGTGACCATGCGTACTTATGCCCAAGCTGTTATGCATGGCCCTTGGGGAACATTCCAGGTATGTTGTAGATAATTACCTCTCTCCTCTCGAGAACTATTCGTTCTGGTCAACATATTTATGTATTTGTGTGATTTCTCTCTCTCTTTTTTTTTTTTTTTGAAAAAAGCCAGCTGTAGCAGGAGCCCAGGTGCTGATGGAGGGAACCCTAGCTTTCCATTTCCCCCTCCCCAAGTAAGCAGAGCTTCTGCATGACTTTTTACTCATCTATGTACAGTGGCTGGTATGCCAAGAATAGTTTCCTCCCCCCCCCTTTTTGTGGGTACATACATGTGTGCCTGTGTGTGTATGTATGCCTCTGTGTATGTGTGGTGCTGAGAATCAACCAGGGTTTGTGCATGCTAAGCACATGCTTTACTACTGAGCCACACCCATGGAGCAGCAGGACAGGATTTACTCTGCCATATGATGGACCTAAAAAGCCTGGCAAAATGAAGAAATCAACAGCTCCCCAGCAGTTCGGGGCAAGCAAAGGCAGGCAGGGCATCACCCTGAGTTGAGGTAGAGCTAGGTGTCCAAGCTGCCAATGAGGCCAGTGAGAGTGCTTGAGGTTTCTCTTGAGTCTCCATGGAGTGAGGTAACCAGCATACCCATGGGAAGAAACCACCCACTTCTGGGTAAGGACCACCTGAAAGAAGTAGCAGGTATAATCCTTTGTGCCCACAGAGGACAAGGAGTAGTTTGTGTCCCCACCAACAGGAGCAGAGAACTGTGTGGTCTTGGGACAGCGAATGGAGCTTTGGGAAGGGTATTGTCTCAGCACGAGCCAAGAAGGCTGCTGTTGGTCCCACCCAGCCCAGCCTCAAAGCTTTCCATGAACAGCAGGCTTGTTATGTTTTCACGTAACCCTAATGCATCCCTAACAAGGCTCGATATTCAGTAACCAAAATAAACTGTGCCCAATTACAAGCCCACAGTAAAATAAAGAGGGAGATCAGTCAACAGAAGCAGCTCCAGAAACTACACAGAGCTCGAATTAGTAGTCAAGGACACTGAAGCAGCAGATGTATTCCTGTGTTCAAGAAGGCTTGAGCAGGGGAGATGGTGGGTGGCATGGGAGGTATGCAGAAGACCCTCATTGAAAACAAAGAATGGCCTAGTAACCGACTTCTGTTGAGAAAAGATACTTAAGCTTACTTAGCTTATCATTCTGTTGGGCTGGAGAGATGGTTCAGTGATTAAGAACACTGACTGCCTCAGCAAAGGACCTAGGTTCAGTTCCCAGCATCCATATTGAGTGGTCCACAACTGCCTATAACTCCAGTTCAAGGGGATCCAACACCTTTTCTGGCCTCTATGGACACTGCATAGACACCAATGTATACACACATATATACAACACGCAGAAGTAAAAATAACTGTAAAAATTAAAAATTCTGTTAACCAATCTTAATTCCAGTTGACTCTAGTGCTTCCATTTTAATACTGTTTCGACATGAAAATTGGTTGAATAGCAAAGCTTTTAAAACTGCAAACCAAGTCATTATTAATAGAAATATACTCTAAAACACAATTTTATGCTAGGTTTTTGTTTTTAAATTTTCCCTCCCCAATTGACAAGATCAGGTTCAAATTCAGTTTCAAAACTATAGTATATGGATGTTGGTTTCTTTTTCTCTCATTCAGTCATTAGTTTGTTTGTTTGTTTTGAGGCAGGGTCTCTTTATGTAGCCCTGGCTGGCTGTCCTGGAACCTCTAGCTGGACAAACCCAAGAGAGATCTGCCTGCCTCTGCCTCTGCCTCCTGAGTGCTGGAATTAATGGTATATACCACCATGCCCAGCTTGATTGCTTGAAACTAATAGAATAAAACATAGCTCTCTAATAGGAGACCTGGGCTTTGATATATTTTTGGTTTTATGTTTTGGCCATACATATATTCAATTCTGGGTCACACTATTGATTATATTGACTCAAATGAGGCTGTTAGTGTCCTTGTCCTTACTGCTTTTCCTGAAGGCATTGAAAAAGCTTTTTATGGGTCTTGGAAGTTAACGTGTGGCAGAGTACCCATTGCATTCTGTGAATGGCTCAGCATTTCTGTCCTGGAAACTGAATCTGTCAGGGTGCAGATCGAAGCATCTCCCTTGATGTGAGAGTAGACCTCCACCTGTAGCGTCTCTGCCTCTTCTCAAAGTCAAGTTTTCAGGCTGAGTTGCAGGTTTTAAGACTCCCTTTCATTGGGCCTCCCCAGGCCTATGTGTGTAGTGGCATGGCATTTATTTTAAAGACATTCATAGTGAGTAGGAATGTTAGAAGAGGCAGGGAAGAAAGCATGCAAAAACACTGTTCTGTATGTTCTCGCCCCCCTGGACTGTGTACAGCCTCATGGGCTGATGACAACATCCATTAGATTGGGCTCTTGGCTGAGCACATATTAATAGGCAAAGCAGGAAGCTCATATTTAACAGCATCCCAGTGGAAGCAGATGGGTGAAGCTTTGAAGTTATCTGTGTGAGCTGTGTGGTCACAGATGTTCTCCCGCCTTGAGGTCCGGTCTGCACTATGCATTGAGCATCATCACAACTTAAAGTACAGATAAATAGTTCATGGCAGTGTCTTCATCCCTTTCCCTGTGTCTGGCTCAGCCTGTCCATGGGCCCTCAGGAGTCAGCTTGGCATTTAAGTTAGCCTGGTGTTTTCCCAACAAGAAAGTTCCCAGGCATGCCTGTCTCACCGTAGCTGTTATCAGCTGAGGCATTTTTAGGAAGTGGGGGTTTTGGGGTGTCTTTAAAACTGTGTCAAACTTTCGTGCAAGTTAGACTCTCCGGGGAGGTTTTAGAGATAGGACTCCAGCTCCTGGCATGGAGAACCTTGTTACACTGGCCCTAATTGGGTCCTCAGCATCAGCATCTCCAAAGAAAAAGACTCTTGTGTCTTGGTGATTGTAATTCACAGCCAGAGCTGGAAGCCACTATGTCCTAGGCCAGATGCCACCATGCTGCTGTTGAGAACCCTAATTCCCCTTTATCCCTTCAAAGGATCCATATTTTAAATAAATATCCTTTTAGTTAATCCTAGAAATGCAGCAAGAGCTGGAAAGCTTTCTGGGGACCCCACAAGGGCTGAAGGGCTGCGTATTGATGGCTTCTTTCTCTTGCAGTGAGTGCAAAGAGCTGCTGGACACTGTGGACAACTACGCGGTTCTTCAGCTGGATATCGTGTGGTGCTACTTCCGCCTGGAACAACTGGAGTGCCTCGATGATGCAGAGAAGAAGCTGAACTTGGCCCAGAAGTGCTTTAAAAACTGTTATGGAGAGAATCACCAGAGACTGGTCCACATAAAAGTACGTAACTGTGATTGGTTTTCTGAACCCACTTCTGGGCTCATTTATTCCTGTCCAGATGTGGAAACTGCTGACAGAGGTGATTCATCTGGGCAGCAGTTTAAAATATCCCCTTTGTAAACCAAGGCTTTAGCAGGTATTAAGTGTTTAATTAGTCTGGCTGGGTTTTATTTTATTTTATTGTTTTGAGACAGTCTCATGTAGCCCAGGCTGTCCCTGAACTCCTAATCCTCTTGCTTCAGCCTCCAGAGTTCTGGGATTACAGTATGCACCACCTGTGCAGCTTAGTCTCACTGCCTCTGTGGAGGTTCTTAAAGTCAGCTTACTGATTACAGACCCCTGCTCTCAGTCACTCCGACCAGGAGAGAACCGCTGACTTAAGGCAGTTGGAGACAGGTGTTGTGACTGGTTCCTTCCATGTGGAAGTGACACTGCTTGGGAACCTTCCTGATGACAGCTTATTATTCTTTTTTTTCCCAATGATTTCAGGGAAACTGTGGGAAAGAGAAGGTGTTGTTTTTAAGACTCTACTTGCTTCAAGGGATTCGAAACTATCACAGTGGAAATGGAGAGGAGGCTCGGGACTATCTCAACAAGGTAAGAAAGGCCGGGGTCTGCCCTCACCTGCGCCTCTGTGCCTGGCAGTGGAGTGCTCTGTGAATCATGCTCAGACTGACCCTTCAGGGCCCTGCACCTTCCTCCCATCCTCTCCCTCACACGGCATGAACACTTAAATCTGTTAGGGTTCAGGCAAGAGGCTGCAATAAGGATGCTTCAAAATGACAATCGCCTTAATTGGGTAAAGTTTCTGCCCTGTTGTCCAGCATCTTGAGGTGAGCAGGCCAGACCAGGGTTCTGCAGGCTTTGGCTCCCATTCATTGTTCCTGCTGGTACCTCTGCCACCAGCAAAGAGGGCCAGAGAGGCAGAGCAGACCTTTACATGAGGAGAGACTACATGCAATTGACATAGAAACCACCAACCAGCCCAGCTACAAGGTTAAAACCTTCCTTTTCGATTAGACAGTAAGGGGGAAATGCTGTGGGATGGGGTCCTTCTCTGCTCTGTGAACCAGTGTTACTCTCATTGGTTGATGATAAAGCAGTTTTGGCCTGTGGCAAGGCTGGATGGATAATGTTAGGTAGAGCAATCAAACTGAGGACTCAGAGGAAGAGGGATGGAGTCGGGGAGATTCAAGCCAGATGCCTAAGACCCAAGATGCCAGAGGACCCGTAAAGCCACATGGCAATACATAGATTAATAGAAATGGGTTAATTTAAATGTAAGAGCTAGTAAGTAATAAGCCTGAGTCATCGGCCAAGCATTTATAATATAAGCTTCTGTGTATTTTTGTGATAAGGCGGTTGGGACAAAAGAAAAGCTCCGCCTCCGTTTACAGAGAGTGATAGATGCTATGTGCAGCTCAGATTCTGTGGATTTTTTTCTTTTTGTTTTGAGACAGGGTCTTGCTGTCAGCCCAGACCCTGTAAATGGCCTTTACCTCCTTATTGCTAGGATTACATACATGCACCACCACAGCCAGCTAAACTCAGGAATGTGTTACAGTCTCCCTGGCACTCCTGCAGTACTCAGCCTGCCCGCTTGGTTGGCTCTGCCGGCAGAGATAGTGTTGTCTGTTTTCCTTCCTGATGGCAGATAGGTTAGACAAGCTCGCTTCCATCATACTCTCCCACACAGTAGTTCACATTGGTGGCCTGACTTAGGGGCTTTAGCAGTGCTAAGCTTTGATGGTGCTGCTGTTGCATGAGTCTTCTGTTGTTTCCTGTTTATAGGCACGCCAGCTCTTTGAAGAGCTGTACATCGATCCGTCAAAAGTTCACAACTTGCTGCAGTTGGGGTTCACTGCCCAGGAAGCCCGGCTTGGCCTGCGGGCTTGTGATGGGAACGTGGACCATGCAGCCACTCACATTTCCAACCGCAGAGAGGTAAGTTTTCACTTCTCTCTTCAGTGCCCATGAGGCTTGGACCCTTTGAAAAGGTTAAGAAACAAAAACAGTACAGCTTCTTTTCTGAACTGGATAGGGAAAGACTAGAGAGAATGCCAGAAGAGGTGTGAACAAGAATCAGGAGGGCAGGAATACATTGCCCTCCCCTGCTCTTTTTGAGACAGGGGCTCATGTAGTCCAGGTTGGCCTCTAACTAGTGGTAAAGCCAAGGGTAACCTTGAACTTCTGGTTCTCCTTGCTAGTAACTGTGAGGGCTAGGATTACTGGCATTCACCACACCCTGTTTTCTGCAGTGCTGGGGAGGAGACCTGGAGCGCCAAGGATGCTGGGCAAGTGTTTGCCAACAAGGCTGCATCCCCACCAGATTGTATTTCTGGAAGCTATTTCAAAGGTGACTGTAAACAGCCTGTGAGGCCACTATGATAGTTTAGGATTGCATTCTTGCCTGGAAACGTGTCAGATGATAGAAAAGAGGTCTTAAAAGCTGCAGTCATTTATAACAGGCTCACAAAAGGAAGTTTTAGAATTCTAGAGTTGGAAGGAAGGGACCTTGTCATACCCAGCTAGTTGTACAGCCGAGAACCTGAGGTCAGAGAGAGCTGGTGATAGGTGTCCATCTTCTCAAAGCTGGCAGTCTCTTCAGGCTTTCCAGCTGGACACTCTTCTTGTGTGGATCCCATTTCCCAGGGAACCCTGAAGACAGCAGCCCGTGGGCCACAGAACGGGCAGGAGACACTGGTCGGTGTGGGAATGGACCCATGGGTTAGTTGTGTAAGGACCTGTCAGCAGGACTGTCAGCCCTCGTCTGTTGTTCCAGCCATCGTCCCTGGGCCTCGCTGAGGAGTCAGGGACAGGTCAGGCGAGGCTGGCGCGGTGCGCTGACTAGTCCAGCAGCAGGAGGCAAGCCTTGCGGACATCGCTTTTCCACCTTCCCACTGCTCCGCCACCACACGGCTTCAGTGGATGGAGAGCCTCTGTTTTCAGGTACTCTGAAAACATGCTGTAATGCTCAGTAGTTCGTGAGTCATTCTCCACGTGGTGATATAATTCAGTTGTACCCATGGCTGCCTGTGGTGCCACTGGCAAAGGTGCTTCTCATTTACAGTGAGGTGTCTGGGTCAGAGACTGCCTCTGAAAGTATAGTGGGGAGGGAGGGCAGTGAGATGAGTTAGTTAGCATCAGTGTCAGGCTTGCGGTCAAGCCCAGTGATCTGCCTTTGATCCCCTGGGCCCACAGAGACACAGTGAATTAAGATGTAATAAAAAATATGGCAGAATTATTGGGTTACATAAGACATTGGGTCCTAACACCACAAATATAAATGAGCGTGTATACATGTATGTGTGCGAACACTTACATGTCATATGTATATGCACTTCTGAATTAAGTGATCTTCAGAGAAAAAGCCCTGGACAGTGATAGGTTAGGTGAGTTGGTGGTCACTCATGTTGCCAAGGACCTGGTCTGTCCCTCCCCTTTGTGTCGTCTGATCACACCCCGAATGCCCACCAGTCCTCGAACCTCTCCCTGAGGCTGGTGTGGGCTGATACCATTCGGATCTCATCTGGGAGCTGGTCAGGGCAGGAGATGTTGGGAAGATACTCTTGGGGTGCCACAGAAGAGGCGCTCCTATGGGAGCTCAAAGTGTGAGGTGGGAGCTGCTGTCTCAATTCCTGCAGCCCTGGGTCTGCATTTGTCAAAGAACTAAATGAACTAAGTCTTTCCTTCTCCTGATGTTAGGGATAGAACCAGGGTGTTGTGCTAGGCAACCGTACCCAAAGTGATGTTCCTAGCTCCTTGATAGGAATCCCCAGGTAAGTGACCAGAGGCTGAGATGACCTTTGACCCTGGCAGGAAACTCTTCTGACATGAGACTGTAGCTGCATACCTGTGGGGCCTCCGACCCCCAGCACATAGGAGGAACCTGCCTGTTCTTATGCTGCATGTTGGGTTCTAGGTTCATGAGGTGCTGGGCTGGTCCTGTGTTTCTGCTCCTGACCTCAGAGCCCAGCCCTAGCCCAGTCCCTGAGCCTCTGGCCACTTCTCAGCAAAGACAGGTAGAGAGAGGTCCCTCTGTTTGGTTGTTCACCAGCCCAGAGGCTTTGAGACACCCTGCAGAGCAGAACCCCAGATTCCTGTGCCGCCTCCACCCCTAACTCAGAGGGACTTGTTTTCCTAAAGGAACTGGCTCAAATAAGGAAGGAGGAGAAGGAAAAGAGGAGACGTCGTCTGGAAAATATCAACTGTTTGAAAGGAATGGGTTACTCCACACATGCCGCCAAGCAGGCCCTTCACCAGGCCAGAGGCAACCTGGACGATGCCCTGAAGGTAAGGCTTCCAGGCTTCAGTCTGGGCAGCTGGGTGCACCCACTGGCCTGACTCCTTCCACACCTTCTTGTGGAGATGGGCTTGCGAGTGCAGTTCTCTCTTCCAGCAGAGCCGGAATGATGGCCCTGGCACCTGGCCTGGGCCTCTTTCTTTTGACTAGAGTCTAATGTCAGCGGCTGTACTGTCCAACTCAAGGACTGATCACGTTTCAGTTGAAGTTTTTGGATAAACTGTTTTTATATCTGGTTTTATTTTTTGTGGTACCTCTTGGTAAAGGGGCTTTTTAAAGAAACCCCCAAAGTAACAGCAGCAGTGGCTTTTCCTTGGTCAAGAGGCACAGTAAGCTCTATGCTACAGGTCAGATGCTGCCCTCGGGTGCCACCACAGGGTGCCACAGAACAGTGATAGACAGATGGATGCACAGGGGCAGGAACTGTGTGCCTGCATGTGAGAGGTGGTAGTCTGCGTGGCTGGTAGTTAGGTGAATAAAGGCCCTTCCTATGCTTTCAGATTCTCCTCAGTAATCCACTCATGTGGTGGCTACAGGATTTAGACCCTGAAAACAACAGCCGTCAAACAAGTCCTTCCCAAGAGAGCATCGACCAAGTGAGTGACAGGCGGTGCATCTTCCCTTGGGCGGGGCTGCCTGGAGGAGTGGGATGGCAGCAGGATGGCCATCCCTGGGAGGACTTCCGGTATATGTAGTCGGGTGGGTGTGGGGAGGGGGTTCTGAATGAGAGGTGCTTCCGTAGAAGGGAAAGGGGATACATGGTAGTACACACCTTTAGTCTCAGCACCTGGAGACAGAGGCAGGTGGGTCTTTGAGTTCAAGGCCAGCCTGATCTCCATCGTGAGTTCCTGGCCAGGGCTACATGGTGAGATTCTGTCCTCTGAAAACTGCAGAGATGGACTGCAGCAGAAGGTGTCCTTTGCCCTCGTTTCTCAGTTGCCTCTGTCCATGTTCCACTGTCTACGTCCGTCCTCTTTCTCTGCCTGGGACCTAAGAGGTCGTCATTGTGTCCCATGAAACTCAACCCACCTCGAAGTGTGGAGACTTCATCCACACTTGACATCACACTTTAGCATGTCCCATGCATTGTGGCCGTTTAACATGTGGTACTCACAGTTAGATTTTCATGACACCTGCTTTCAGCAGCAAGGTCCTGAGGTGAGTGCCTAGCACCTTTGAACCCAGGTCTGCACGGCCTGGTGTCTCTGGGGCTGAAGAGGGAGGGACTTGTCAGAAAGGGCAAAAGATGCAGGCAGCATTCTTGAATTATACTTACCTAGAAAGGTACAGGCAGCATTCTTGAATTATACTTACCTAGAAAGGTGCAGGCAGCATTCTTGAATTATACTTACCTAGAAAGGTGCAGGCAGCATTCTTTAATTATACTTACCTAGAAAGGTGCAGGCAGCATTCTTTAATTATACTTACCTAGAAAGCAAAGTTGTCCTAGATGTGCTGCGGGGTGCAAGAACATGGATGTGGTCCACAGGGCAGTGTGAGCTGAGCGCATGGTCACAGTCCTAACCCTGTGATCTCTCCTAGCTGGTGTACATGGGATTCGACACAGTGGTGGCTGAAGCCGCGCTAAGGGTGTTTGGAGGCAATGTCCAGCTGGCAGCTCAGACCCTTGCGCACCATGGAGGAAGCCTTCCTCCAGACCTGCAGTTCTCAGGAGAGGACTCCTCCTCCTCCTCCTCCACACCATCCACATCCCCATCAGACTCTGCAGGTAGGCCTGAGGTCTGGATGCTCCCTGATGGCTGCATTCTGCTGAGTTGGAGCTAAGGGCAGCTGTGATCCTAAGGCAGAGGCTAGCCTGGAGGCCGAGGGCCAACCCTGGGTTCTGCCGGGCCGGGGTGACTACCAAAGGCACAGTCAGGGCCCCTCTCCTCCTGTGATCTGCTTATCCCCGTGGTGTTTTCACTGCAGGGACCTCTAGTGCCTCAACAGATGAAGACATGGAGACAGAGGCCGTCAACGAAATCCTGGAGGACATTCCGGAGCATGAGGAAGACTACCTGGACTCCACTCTGGAGGATGAAGAAGTGATTATTGCTGAGTACTTGTCCTACGTAGAAAGTATAAGGTCTGCCACAAACAACAACTGAACAGAACTAAGTCCTACATTTCTGCCTATAAATTCTGTCGTTGTGAATGGTCGAATGCAGCTCTTCTTTGCGTTCCTCTTGCTTTTCAACGATTCTGCTCCACGTAGGCTTCTTCCTCAGGTACAGGGACCCAGCATAGTGAAGAGAGACTTTATTGGGAAGAGGACAGTCTAGGAGAGGGAGTCCCTGGCTCTGTTCCCCTTCTGCCTCCAGGTCTGCATCCCTAACTCGGCCACTCTGCCGGTTTTCCATCCAGACTGGGAAGCAGGCTCCCTAATGGAAGCAGGGTGGTCTGCAGAGGGCTGGGGACTCGGTCTCCTGTCCCCCTCAGCTAGCCCTCCTGTGCACTTTTCTTCCTATCCTGCTACTGAAACTCCCCTCTCCACCCACCGCTGCTGTGCAAGCTTACCTCAGCCCTTGCTCACCCTGCCTCACCCCTGCCTCTCCATTCCAAGTGCTGTGGGCACAATGAGATATAGGCCGCATCCCATACTAAATGGTGGCAGATACCTTGATGTTGAAATGTCAGTGTTCTGTGCTCTTAGATCAGTAAAGTCTGTACTTAAAATTCAAGGTTGCAAATCAGAGTTTCTATGAATTCTAAATTCCTCATACAAAGTGAGTCTTTTATTAAATGTAAGTTTTCAATGCTAATGAAAGCAACTTCTTTTCATTTACATTTCTAGACTGCTGTCAGAAAACTCAGATGGCTAAGAGACCCCTGAGATTGTGATGTGCTTTCTCAAGTCTCTTGCTGGGTTTTTCTACAGCTGGGTCACGGGACTGTTCCTAAACAGGCCTGTCAGCCTTTGGTTGGTTCTTCCTGGGCATGGACCAGATGGGTAGCCTTCTGGCACCCAGGGCATGGCAGGCAGCAGACAGATGTGGAGTGGGTCAAGTGCCACTGTATTCCTGAGATCCTCTCATTTCTCCTGAAGCCCTGACCACAGACCACCAGGCTGGGCAAGTAGAATTGTTTCTTGCTTTTTTTAAAATTACACATATTTATTGTGTGGGGGGTGGGAAAACATGCCATAGCACATGTCTGGGGTTCAGAAGACAGCGTGTGGGAATTTGTTCTTTCCACCCTGTGGGTACCAGGGACTGAGCTCAGGCTGTCAGGCTCGGTGGCAGGCCCCGCTCCCTGATGACTCATCTTGTTGCCCCCCTTGCTATTCTTTGGAAGTAGATGATACTGATGGAAATAAACATGGAGAATACAAATGAATGTCCGGCCTAGCTGCAGTGGGTTGCTTCCGGGTTGTTCAGTGACCATTCCGTTCTGTGTACACACAGTGAGTGCAGTGTTGCCCTCAAGCGGCCTAGAGGTTGGAGTGTGGCTCTGCAGCAGGGCCCTCCTCGGGCCTGTGTGGGTCACGCTGCCAGCCTCAGCAGGGTTCCGGTGTGACCAGGAAGGAGAGACTCTGCGAGGGGCCGTGAAGCAGCCACCAGAGTGTGTGTCTTCGCAAGGGCAGGGCAGAGGGACTTACCTTGAAACTATTGGCCAACCAGGCACCGTCCCGGGCATGGTGCCAGCTGTACTTTCTGGATTCCCTACTGTTTAAACGCTGGCGGAGAACACCAGAAGCCAGGACATCACTGCCATGGCAGCAGGCCCTGACTGCATGTGCGAGGGTGAGCCATGGGCAAGCACACAGATGTTGTTATGGACAGGGTGAGGGGAGGGACAAGTGAGTGACCCATGAGTTGAGAAGGTTCTGGGTGCACCTGGAGTGCTGGGAAGGGGATGAAGAGCCTGCTGAGACTGCGCAGAGCCCTGAGAGCAGGTGGAGACCTGACCAGAGGTGACAGAGTGCCCACAGTGGGAGGACCAGGGCAGCAGAGAGCATGTTTGCGGGATGAAGTCAGCCTGAAGCTCTGCAGTGATGTGCTGGCCTTGGCCTGGTGTCACTGACGGCATTTCACATCACCTGGAATTGTCTTGCATTGGTAAAACTGCCATACCTCTCTGTCCTCCTGGCCAGGCATCTGGTAGAAAGTTCTGTCCCTTCTTTTGGCCAACTGAACATGTGTCACAGACACTCGCTTCCTTCCTGTCAAAGGCTAAGCAAGCACTCTACCACTGAACTACACTCCCTGTCCTGGTGTGGCCAGGGTACCTCTGGCTCAGCATTCAACAGTAACACACAGAAGCAGCCCATAGGTGCTGGGAAAGGAGTGGGGGGCATCCTCATGCCCTCAGCATCAAGCCAAGGTCGCTATGGTATTGAAATAAAAACCCCAGTGGGTTGTGCTGGGTCAATTGAAAATACTCTGGTGTTTCCCCAAGAACACCGTGCAAAATAGTGTTTTTTTCCTCAGAAAACACAGCAACCTGTCACAGACTCCAGACTGAGGGAGGTTCCCAGCTGGCACCCATCCTTTCTGCCACTTGTGGCAGGATTCTCTATAGCACAGATAACAGTTTAAATAAGGGGTGGGGGAGACGCTGGTTGTAGTGGCACACGCCTTTTATCCTAGCACCAGGAAGGCAGAGGCAGGCTGGTCTCTGAGTTCAAGGACAACCTGGTCTACAAAGGGAGTTCCAGGACAGCAAGGGCTACGGAGAGAATCCCTATCTCAATAAATAAACAGAGAATAGAAAAAGGGTTTATTTTTACTTTTAAATTGTATATGCATTTGTTGCGTATAGCTGTGTGCAGTGTGGGTGCAGGTGCCCGTGGAGGCCAGGCGAGGGCATCTTACCACCTGAACTAGAGTGACAGGTGTTGTGACAGCCCAGCCTGGGTGCTGGGAACCAAACTCTGCAAGAATAGTACAAGCTCTTAACCACTGGGCCATCTCCCCGCCCCCAGCGGCTCCTGCTGTGTCCAGTGACTCCACCACATCTGGCATAGTATGGCATTTCTGCACAAGACCAGATGGTCCTACCCAGCTGTTCAATGCCAGACCTTGACAGAAAACCCCTGGATTAATGTCCAAAAATGGATGGGTACTCCAAGGCAGGGGCTCCTGCCAAGCAGGCTGGTTGAAGAGGTCCCTTGCTCCCTGGCCTCTCCCAAGGCCACTGCTGTATAATGACCTTGGTTCACAAGCCCTCTTCTAAACCAAGGGGAGCTGACCCAGGGGGCACAGCTGTGGCAGGCCAACGGGCCTCCAAAAGGAAACCAAACCAAGAACGACACCCAGAGCACTCTGAGTGACGTGTATTGGAGTTCTTGGGGGGGGGGGCGGTTGTGGCACATGACTGGCCAATCTGACCTGGCTTTTGTAAGTTCATTTCCTCAGCAGGGAGGGCCTGGCAGCATGGACTTCAACTCAGAGCTGGAGGCAGGCCGGCTCGAGTCCCCGCCGTGGCCACCAGTGTCCCGTGGGAAGGCCTTGGCTCAGGGCACGGGGAAAGGCGCCTTCTTCCACAGTAGGAGAGGTCAGTCACGAGGGCAGGTGCGTGCTCTGCCGCAGGCCACTGCAGTCGCACAGTGCTTGGGGAAGCCAAGAACACTGACAGACGAGCCAGGCCACGGGTTTCCACCATCTCCTCTCCAGGGACTCAGGCTGGCTGCAAGGGCACCGGGGCCGCACAGGCCACCTTGTTGCTGAAGAGGCGGGACAGGCTGCGTTTGGTTGCTGGCCTTTGTGGCAAAGGCGGCACTGACTGGAGGCCACGCACGTCCCAGAGGCGCAGAGCACCGTCATGAGATGCTGTGTAGAGCACCTGACCATGTACCTGTGGGCAGGCAGGACGGCTGTCATCCAGGAGCAGGGGGCCCTTGCTTCCCTGGGGCAGTCGAGAGCTGGGAAGGGAGACTCCTACCTGGAGGCAGTTGATGACAAAGCTGTGGCCTCGGAACACCCTCTGCAGCACTCCTGACCGGGCATCAAAGGCGCGGGCGCGGGCGTCCCCACTGCCCGTGAACACTGCGGACACAGCAGTACACTGGGCCCTTCCTGGCTGCCACCTTGCCACCTCCCCAGGAATGGGACACGGTGAGAGGGTGGTCTGACCTCTGCCTGCCCCACAGAGACATCCTAAGGGTCAGGTGGGAAACATCTGGAAGCCTTCTGAAGGGCAGCTCGGGCTCTCCATCCTGTGGAGTCAGGGAGGACCCGGAGGGCCCCAGGACACCCCTGCTGTATGGACATCTTTGCATAGTCTGGCTGCCATGCCTTCCTTGACTTCCGGTCAGCCTGTGCTGTCCTGAGTGGCCCTGTGTCTCAAGAACCTCTCAGGGCCAGGTGCCCATCTTATACCCTATTGAGTTAAGCAGACTTCTCTGCCTGTGTTTCTAGGACACTCGCCACATCCTGCAGGCTCTGCCCTGCCCACTCATCACCTGTACCCAGGGCCAGCCAGAGCCCACCCACCCTCCTCAGAAAGGGATGTGGCCTTGAAGCAGACCCCAGACCCCAGGCCCCATCTGATTCCTGGGTCTTCCTCTGTCATAACCTGGCTTGGTGGTTCTCTGGCATCAAGGCACCAGAGTCCCTGGAGTACTTGCTGGGGCAGATGGCCGAGTGCCACCCCACACTTTCTGGTGTACTGAGGGGGGCTGCCACTCCTTTTTAATCAGTACTGGTGAGGCTGGCGATGAGGGGCCACCTGAAGTAGCCAACTATGGGGGTTCACTTACCCTCCTACACTGATTTCCCCAGAAGCCACCCCCTGGACAGGAGGCCTGCAGTTCACATGGCAGACAGTGCCGGAAGCATGGAGGTGATAGGGAGGAAACCACAGAGGCCTGTTAAGTGAGCAGAGCGGCTCAGATGGGGGGGGGGGACTAGGTCCAGAGAGGAGGTAAGGATGCTGGGCCACACACCCTCCAATACCCCTGGTGAGAGAGAGGTCCCGGGGATCAGTCCCCAGCAGCCCCGCTTGCTTAGTGTGAACTGTCAACTTGTTCCAGCCTAGAATCACCAGGGAAGAGAGTCTCCTCTCACTGCAGAATTATCTAGGTCAGGGTAGCCTGAGGCACGACGCGATGGTTAATTGAGGCTGGAAGACCCTGAATGTGGGAGCCCCAGGTCATGGGTCGGGCCCTGAACTGCCTCAGTGCGGAAAGTGAGCGGAGAACGCAGCTGGCAGCATCATGGGTTCGCTCACTCCTCTCTGCTCTGGGTGACCCACGTGGTGTAACCCGCTGACTTAGGCCCCTGCTGCTGTGACCTCCCTGCAATCTGGGACTGTAAGACAACCCCTTTCCTCTGAGTGTTTGTGATAGCCTCACATGGAACCCCACGGCCACCTTGTATTTGCTTCTCTGGGCCTGCCCAAAGCCAGCCCCTCTAGGCTGCTCCCTGGTCTTCGGTATCTATTTCTTCCCTTCCCGGCCTTTGTCTGCACACACTTCCCCTTTTCTTTAAGCTTGAGGGTGCACAGGGCCCCGGGAGGGAGTTTCCTTGCTGCGTTTCCTCAGTTCTTTCCTTGCCTCTCCCCAGACTCAGTAGCAGGGTCCAGCCCCCATGGGCTGCTGGGCATCTTGAGAGTGGACAAGGTCGGGAGCAAAGCCCATTCGGTAGCCTTGTTGGCAAGGCCCAAGAACCAAGCTCGGTCATAGTGAGAGGGGCCCGTGAGGGTGACTTCAGCACAGCTGTGCCAGCTGCCACCAAGGGGAGGGGCACAGGAGGGCACCTGGCAGGGTCTGGGGGCTAACCGTTCTGTGCTCAGTTAAGAGAGCGGCGTCTGACCAGGGCCAGAGCTGTGCCCACACTAAGGCGTGGACACGAGAGGAAGGAAAAGTAACTTCTCCTCGTCAGGCTAACTCCTCGGGCTTCCACTCCCAGGCCCGGCCCTATGGGAGTCTAACATCTGCTTCTGTTAGGGGCTCATGAAACCAAATAGGAAGGGAATCGCCATTGGTGGAGCCGAGGAGAGGGGATGAAGACCCAGATGTGTGACCACTTGGGACCTAGGAGACAAAAAGCTTCCTCCCTCCCTAGCAAGCCCTTCCCCTCAGCCACCAATGAAACGGCAAGTAGAACGGTAGCCTGGCTCAGGGACGCACACCATGCAGCCATGGGAGGCAGAGGAGATGACCAGGAGAGGAAGGGGGGGGCAAACTGGAGTGGCGTGGGCGGTGCCAGGACAGATGACTTACAGGTGCCTGCGTGGTACTTGAGGGCACTCACGCTGTGTCTGTGGGCCGGGAACGTGCGCACCCTCTCTCCAGTGTCAGCCAGCCAGCACTTAACAGTCCGGTCCGCACTGCCCGAGTACAGGAGCCGCTCTGTGAGCTGGAGGAAAAGCATGAGGGTCAGCCATTGGCCCTGATGGCTGGGCAGCAGCCCTCAATCATTCTTTACAAGGTGGGAAACGTTGGCAGGTCTCAATGGGGAAAAGCACGGTGACCCCAGGAAGTACTCCCCACCACCCTCTGGAGCACTAGACAGTGCTGGCTCCTCTTTCCCCTGGTGAACCTGGGCCCAGAAGGCAGTGTCCTCAGCCTTAGAAAGCCCTGCAGACCCCAAACAGAACCCTACAGATGCTAGCCAGACATAGCCCTGCAGACCTTAGATGGAGCCCTGCAGATACTAGGCAGTGTCCCTCAGACCCAGACAGAGACCCCCCAGTCCCCATACAGCCCTGCAGACCCCAAGTGGAGCCACACACTCAGCCAGAGCCTCTCCACTGCCTCCTCCTCCTCCTCCTCCTCCTCCTCCTCCTCCACAAGCTCGCTAATAAAGCCTTGGTCCCCAGCTGATGACATTCAGGAGAGGTAGCAGAGCCTCCAGAGTCAGAGGACACAGGGGAGGCCGGTCACTAAGTGGCAAGCTCAGTGCCCAGGAATAATCAGAAGCCCCCTGCCTACACACGATCCTCACACACAGCAGTGACCACCCCCCAGTACTCCTGCTAAGTGTGGACACACTGAGCCATGCTCCAGCTGAGGGTCGGGTCACTTCCACAGTCAGCCCCGGAGAGACCTAGAAGGCTGTCGTCACCACTAGGGTGTAGGGTGAGAGAACTGGTACCCAGGACTGAAGGCTGACAGTATACACAACCCCAACTGCGGCAGCCAAGGCACTGTGTTCAGACCCTCCTCCAGCTCCTAAAAACTGAGAAAAGCCCTGTCTCTAGGGGAAGAAAAAGGTTCCTGTCGCTGGAGACAGAAACTCAATTCAGGAAACACACAGATGCAGGTCAGGCCTTAGGGGTTTTGGTTGATGTTATTTGTGTGTGTGTATGTATGTGAGTTCATGTTCCGTGTGTGTGTGTGTGTGTGTGTGTGTGTGTGTGTGTGTGTGTGTGTGTGTGCAGATAGAGAGAGCAGTGGTCAACCTCTGCTGACCCTCAGGCATCCTGAGCTCACTAATTAGGTTGGTTGGGCAGGAAGCCAAAGGGGTCCACCTGCCTCTGCCTCTCCAGGCTGGGTTACAGGCACGTGCCCCCAGCTTCTCTTTTCTTTTTCTAATTACTTATTTTATGTATATGAGTCTCCTACCTATATGTACAACTTATGTCAGAAGAGGGCATCAGATCCCACTAGAGATAGTTGTAAGCCACCATGTGGTTGCTGGGAATTGAACCCGGGTCCTCTGGAAGAGCAGCCAGTGCTCTTAACCACTGAGCCATCTCTCCAGCCCCGACACACCCAGCTTTTCTACACAGTGCTGGGATGAACTCAGCTCCTCAGCTTGTGCAGCGAATGTTTGAGCCAACTCCCTAGTCTGTTTTTTCAGACAGGATCTCACTGTGCAGCCCAAGCTGGCTTCAGGTTCCCTCCTGGCTTCCCCTGCACCAGGATTCCAGGTATTCTCAGTCACACAGGCTGTTAAAAGTCCCTTTCTCTGTTGGGTGACTTCTTCGGCCCTACTTCCCCTTTGTCTGGATATATTTTCAGGAATCTTCTTCTTCAGCCGACTTACTGTCCATTTTCCTGGCAAG